TGTTGACAAAATGAATCAAACCCATATTTATTTCTACGTTTATCAAATTCGCGATTTTAATTGGTCAATCAACAAATGGCATGGGTTAAAATTTTGTGTTCCCTCCTGTTGGTCGAAACTACATTATTTTGTAGCCAAAATTTCTGAAAAACTTTGGCAAATATTAATTTTTTATAGGCCAAACTATTTTTTATTTAATAGCGAAATTGGGCGAAATTATTTTTCAAGTTATTTAAATTAAAATAGGTTAGTTTTTCATTATAAAAAATATTGAGAAGTCCAGACTATTGCCAAAGCTACTTTTTTTCAAAAAAAATTTGGATCTATAAACTTTAATGTTCACCTTGTGACTTTTGTTCACAAGCTAAAATCTATATTAAAAATCAAGTATTTAATTAACTATGTTTTTTTAGATGGTAATCATTATAATAAATCCACAACTCACAACTCCATTTCCTCCAAAAATTTATTTCAATATTCAACCACATCACTTCTTTCATGTTCATCAAAATAAAGGCCTTTTTTATATTTGCCGTATATATATATAACCCATTTTCTTCAACCATTTGTTTGCTGTTGATAAACTTAAAAAAAATTTTCATTAAGAATAATTTTTGAAAATTAATTGTTTTCTCTCCTGATTGTCATCTCATTTTCAACCCCTATAATAGGAAATATATCTTTAGCAATAAATTCTTTGAAATTAACTGACACATTAAATTTTTCTTTTCTTAAAAAAGATAATATTTTAACCTGAACATCTTCATCATCAATAATGCATCCTCTTAAATTTTCACCTCTTTTTTTATATGAAACATCACCATATTTTATAAATGATTTTCCCCAACTTATACATTTTGAAAACCATGGACCTTTATTTAAGATTTCTGAAACTAAATCTGCTGCCTTAATTTTTTTTATTGTTTTTTTTTTTAATAATTCAAAATAATATTGCAAAGCTTTTAATATTAAACTATGACCTTTTGCAACATCAGATGATTGATTTCAATATCTTTGATCAAATCATCATAATTTATACTTAATTTTTTTTGGAAATTGTCAACTATTCCTAATTCATTATTAACTGTTTCTGAACTTTGTGAGTCATTATTTTGAGTCATTTCTTCATGAGAATTTTTTTCTAAAATAAAAAATTGACCAAGAGTTGACCATTTTTATTGATATTTTCTTTTGTTGATGCTTTTCTTCTTTTTTGTGTGCTTTTTAAATTTCCATGATAGGTTAATAATAGCCTTTTGTCCTTATAAATTTTCATATTATCATTCAGTAATTGAAATAAAGATTCACTATTATTTTCAAGCTCTTCATCAAAATATGGATACATTTCTTCAAAGTCTTCTTCAGAGTTAACAGAATCACTATTGTCCCTAAAAAAGAAATATCCAATTAATCATTAAATTATATTTTCAAATTAAATAATAATTTCTCGCTCAATTTCATTATCTTCTAGTTTTTTTTGTTTTTCTGCACAGAAACTTTAGCAATATTTTTAAGTGCTGAGTTCTTTTTTTAATTCCATCTACAGTCAAACCTTGTCATAACGAATTTCAATCTAGTACAAATTTAGAAGGTATCTGCAGAAATATCCAATCAAATACAATATTTCTGCTGATACCTTCTAAATTTGTACTAGATCGAAATTCGTTATGACAAGGTTTGACTGTATTTTAAATATTTTAAGATTTTTATTAAAATTTGTTTTTTACAATAAATTAAATTGATACGTGACATTTTTACTTCATAATTTGGGCTGACATTAAACAAAATTGGCCGGAATTATAGGGTGTCAATTTCAAAATTTTATAATATATACAATATCAAAACTTTAACTTGACATGACTCTTGTTACACTGAACTTATTTAAAAAATTCCAACGCGATTTGATAGCTTTTAACCATATAAAATAATCAATTCACATTGATTTTTTTTTCAAAAGTTGCACAAAAATTTAACTCATGTCAATTTTAAGAAGACCAATTATTTTGGATGTATTACTGTGACACGCACTGTACTGATATAGCTACTAGTGCTGTGATTTAAGAAAATGTCAAATTATTACTATTTATCACTATCATTACTATATAAAAGGATTAAGAAGGAAATTATTTTATTATTATTTAATGATGTTAGAGAAATTTTTTTGGTACAATATTTTTTGAAGATTTCAAACTTCCCCCATTGATCTGCAAGATACATCACACAACCAATATTTTTTTTGTTTCATAAAGTGAAAATTACATCTTGAAACTATGGTTAGCTTGATCTAAAGACTTCTTATTGCTGTGACGCGCTCAAATTTCAAAAATGCAATAAAATTTTTTAAAGTACTCACGTGACTTTGGTCAAAAAAATATTTTCCTTCTTGCCCAATTTAGATATGATTGTCGAGTATTAGTCTAAATTTAGTAAATATGAACGAAAACTAGTCTAAATTTAGCAATGATCCTAGCGCTCAAATTCCTCATGTGCATAGTAATAGTAAAGTGCATGTTTTACAAAAGAATAGAACTTTACAACAAATAATTTCTTTGGGAAAATCTCTCTATTACATTAAAATTAAAGACCTATTCTACCAATTAATAGAGCTATTTTTTTAAAAGGTGGGACAGAAAATGACTTCTATCTATACTTTTAAAATTTGCACAAAATTTAGGAGGTCTTTAGACCAAGCCAACTATAGTATTGTTAAAAATAGGAGCCAATAAAAAGACAGTATATAATAACAGTTGACTTATTAACAAACAACATATGGATCTTTGAGTAATAAATTACACTTGAATATGTTTAAAACATACTTATTTCATGCTCAAAATATTAATTATAATAAGTATGTTTTAAGTGTATAGGGAATGAAACTTTTAAATAAATAAATAAATAGATTAAAAAAACAAATGAAATAAATAAATGCAGCTTCAAATGTTTGAATACACTTCTCATCTAATTTCTGAATTACCCTATAGTATTAAGCATAACTTAAGTTGCTTCTTTTTGTGCTTTAGACAAATATATTTGATGCTTAGGATGATAACAAATGTTAGTATTTTTGTTTTTTGCATTAACAATTAGCTTGTTGTAATGCTTTCTACATAGAGCTTTTCCTACTACATATGGGTTCCATGCTAACAAAAAGATAGTTCGGGTTCAAGAACCCCAAAATGAGTTGTTGATACCACTATATTCTT